AGATGGGAAATGGCAACAACATTATGTTCCTGGCACACCAGTTGAAACGTCACCAGTTTTGAGGATGACCTTACTTAGTGTGAACAGAAAAGACCACGTTTTTCTCTGCAGGTTTAAAACCCTTGGGGTAGTCTTAATTTTCACAGTTTCACTGATAAATATCCTGCCAGTCAGAGAGCCGATCTACATACTGCATGATCAGTCAGTAAATAAAAAAAATATATTCATAACATGCTCCGTTAACACAGTAGTTAGCAGTCGAGAAGATGTTTCGAACCACTCCAAATAGCATCTAATGGTGGACCCCATAAATATTCACATTAATCTGATTTATTCATACATCTATATTCTTAATCGAAACCATGAACGAGAGAGCAGCTAAACAGCTAGATGTAAATGAGCATGACCTTTTGTGAACATCAAGTTGTGCTTTATCTCCTACTGCTTTCCCTAAATATGATTATCATAATGTATTCCTCATCGGCATATTCTTACGGTCGACCTCCCGCACATTCACCTGTCTAAGGAGCCCTGCCACAGTCAAGCTTCTCTTGCCCACAGCCATATCACACAAGCACCTTCGCTAATAGCGTCTCTGTCTGTGTCATTAAAAGCAATGGGCATCACTCAAACCAGGTCATGCCATTTTGTTCTAGAACACTCGAACTGCTTCCTTTCTTTGAATGTTTAATGAGATTTTTATTTATTCGCAGAAGCGCACAAACCAGCTAATGAGCTTGATTTTGCTCACAAAGGCGCTTACGCACCAACATCCACACCTAAAGCACACCCTTCTAAAGTTGTCACAAATGTGACATGGTTATGAGATGCAAGTTAATTGAAAGAGAATTGGTGTGTTTTATAACATCCTGTGTTTTAACAGTAACCTGCTAACCTCGAGGTAACAGAAGTTGTTTTGTCTTGTCATGAAAGCACCAAACTTCAGGACTAATGGAAGATTTTTCTTCTCTGTAGAGTGAAAATGGAAAAAAGAGCCACTTTTTGTGTTTCATTACTCATCTAAATTAGTTTAATGGTTTTACAGGCTATGAAGAAAGTATTCAGCGTGTGTGCTCAAATCAAGCCTTCACAAATGTTTTGCTGTTTGCTGTTAGTTCAGAGAAACATCCTTAATCAATAATAGCAAATGACTACTGGCATGTCTACAATGGCTTAATGACTACAATGACTTACAATGACTACAATAACAATTACGTTAACATGCTAGGCACTAAGTGGTAATGACAGCATGCCAACAAGGTCTTTATTCCAAACAACAGCAGTCATAATGGCTTATTGACTGTTTTTAAAGGGTGATATGTATTTGTGTGCTTTGTATCTCAGTATTCTGTGAGAAATTTTTTGCAGATGTCATTTTATGATGCTAAGTCTTTGGTTAACTCCTCCTAAAACCTCATTTAGTAAGACGGCGATTAGCAGCCACCTTTAAATTGCGTCTTTTGTTAATTTGGTTTGAGTTTTTTGGATTAAATTGTTACATTATTAGCTCATTGTCAAAGCTGTATGGCTTAAATACTAAACGGATGGTCTGATTCCAAAGAGACGTCTTTGGTTTTATGTTGACAGACAGCTTTAAGTTGATGGTTCCTGTTTTAATAAGCCACAAGTTATCTTAAGTGGAAATCCTCGCTTCTGTTTGCCTTGTCAGTTGTAATTAAATTGAATTTGAAACACAGAGCAAGAAAAAGAACTAAAGCTGTCAGTCATTGCAGGAAACGAGGATTGTATGGCCCACTGTGTCTTTAGCATTGCTTTCCCTCAGTTCTAACTCTCTCTCTCTATCTTTAAAGGGTGATCTCTGCTAGCACTTAGCTCAGGCATGAAGGATGAGACTGAATATTCATGTCGATTTTGTGGGCTGTGGTCTGGCAGCTGCAGGCTATGGTGATTTATCTTGAACGTCTGTGCGTGTGTGTGTGTGTGTGTGTGTGTGTGTGTACAGACATGCTGTAAGGAGAAACCTTCTCAATCATTCATCCATCCATCAAGCTCCTACACTAGACAGAAGCAGCTCTTTCAGTGATCTTAGATCAGCATTCTCCACACCAGTCCTTGGAAAGATACCGTTTCAAAGCAGCTTTCCAAACACAGCTTCATGCTTATCTTCGCGCGAAGACCGAAAGCTTACAACACTTGCTTTTCAGTCAGTAGATTGCAGCTCTTATAGAGAAATATAGTACACCTCTCTGTCCTTAAAGGGTTAGTTCACATAAAAAAAAAATACAAATTTTGTCATTATTTACTCACCCTCTTGTTGTTTCAAACATGTATTGGCTTGATTACTTTTGTGGAAAAAAGCTTCTGCTGTTTTTACCTGTACAATGAAAGTTAATGGGGTCCAAAACAACATTGGACCCTACTGACTTGAACTGTATGGACCACAAAAAGTACCATTTTACAAAATATATTTGGTGTTTCATAGAAGAAAAAAGTCATACAAGTTTGCAATGACAAGTAAATGATTTTAAATTTTCATTTTTGGTTGAACTATCTCTTTAAAGAATCTTGATTCTTAGACAACGAGAGTGTTGAAACATGCATAATCATAATTATCATCATTATGTATAATGAGGGATCCAGATTTTTCCATTTATGTCTTTTCTTGTACTGTCCGTTATCATCAAAACAAGCTGAGAATTGCTTTATCTTGTTCTCTTAATTACATATCTCACTCTCTTAATTACTCACTATCAAATTTAGTCCCAAATTATAGAGCTAAAGAAAGAAAGAAAGGGATAAAGGACTTGAGTTTTGTAAAGGTGGTGGTCTCTTTTCGCTCAATTACTCTCAAATGGTTGTATTTGTCTCTGCTCAGTCCGCTGTGTAAAACACCTTCATTGGTAAATGAATATAAATGCACCCATCTCTCCGTCCTTTCTCCTCCTTGTCATCTGAACAGGGAACATTGGGGTCATTCTATCGCTCTTTCCTCGAGGGCTTTGATGAGGAAGGGCTCTGAAGGGTGACGGAGAGATTCACTTTGCATCCTGGAATCAGATGTTATCTAGTTCTCACAGACCCACAGCAGAAAAGAGTATTTTCTCTAATATAAGCATTTTAAGGGTGAGCCAGAGGGCATGTCTGAAGATGAAGACGCTGCACTAACCATGTTCCTCAAACAAACAAGGCAGAAAATGCAAGTCTGAAACCCTATAACATATGCGACTGTCAATCTGATGAACAGTGATTATAGTTGAATGATGTTAAAGGGGTGGTTCATCTAAAAATTCACCATGTCCTTCCAAACCTGTAGAGTTTCTTTCTTCTTTGGAACACAAAAGGATAATCTTCTGGCTGCTCTTTTCTATGCAATTATAATGCATGGGGACTAGAGCTTTCAAGCTTCCAAAAAGACTAAAAAGCAGCATTAAAGCAGTATGAAAGTAGTACACATGACTTGTACTTTCCAAGTCTTCTGAAGCCATGTGAATGCTTTGTGTGAGTAAAAGACTTTAAACAGATCAAAATGTAGCATTTTTTTTTCATTCACATCCAACTTCACCCTAGTCTCCTTTTAAAAAAGCATGAGAGGCCATGAAAGAAGTATTGATGCCCAATTTGTGATTTTTTTTTCCCTTTTCCTTGATTTTTTATTTGTGATGAGTCAGACTCATCTGGTTTTTGACTAGAGGGGAATGAGATCAGTCAATAATGACTTAAATTCCTCCCACAAAGCTATCATCACATGACTTCAGTAGGATATAGTTGCCTGGACCACTTGTATAATACTTTTTTATGGTTCTTTTGCATCATTTTGAAGCTTGACAGCTCTTTGTTCATTGTGCTTGCATGAAAAAGAGTAGCCAGTGCATTCTTCAAAATGTCTTCCACAGAAGAAAGAAATACAGGGTTAGAACAACATGAGGGTGAATGCATGGTATATATGACAGAATTTTTCATTTTTGATAGAATTCTAAAGGAATATTTTGGGTTATTTCAAACTCATTTCTATGTACTTCGTCTGTAGCACACTGCCAATTATCACAGATATTCTGACTTGTGTGTATAAATTAAAGGGTAACGGGTAACACTTTAGCATAGGGACCAATTCTCACTATTAACTAGTTGCTTATTGGCATGCCTATATTATTAACACATTGGGTGTTTATTAGTACTTATAAAGCACATATTCTACAACTACCTACAACTACCTTACTAACTATTAATAAGCAGCAAATCAGTAGTTTGAGGCAAAAGTCATAGTTAATGGTTTGTTAATAGAGAGAATTGGACCTTAAAATAAAGTGTGACAGGGAAACGCATTATGCTACATACAAACCAATAGCAGCCTATAAGGCCTATGAAAATTGAAGCCTATAATTTGCAGTAAAGAAATAAATGTTTCAAAATGCAACTGTCAAACCTTTTCAGAAGTAAACAATTTACAGTCTTGACTATAAAAAAAGACTCATAAGTTATAATCACCGACCCTTGTGACAACCAGCTCCACTATATTAATTATAGTTATGTGTAGCATTTCAACTCTTGTTATAAGGCCACTCAGTATTTATTTAGTTAGTTAGTTAGTTAGTGTCTGTGCAGGGAATACCAGGAAGGCACATGAGAAACAGGACATAAATATTGTATGTGATATGTAAACCACTGTTTATGTGGAGCTTCATGCATTCTGCAAACTCTGCCCACCAGAATTACATCAGTATCTTTTAACCAGAAGTTCATCGACCTAGAGAGTATTCCCATCTTCATTCCCATTCAGACAACTTTACAGCTAATTTTTGATGCTAAATTATTCATGTAACTTAAAAATAATACATGCTGCACATTAATACTTTGAAACTCTTCGGCCAATTTGCCTGCTAAGCTTTCATTAAAATGTATTTAAATGTATTTCATGGCATTTATCCACATGCAAATTAAGTCAAAATTATTGTCTGTGGGAATAAACAGTCTTATACGAATAAATTGATTTAAATCGATGAAGTCAAATAAACTTTCTCTCTCACTCTTCCTCTTTCCAGGTGTTTACACGTTATGGGAAATGTTACATGTTTAACGCTGCTGAAGAGGGGAAGACTTTGAGGACTACAATGAAAGGAGGCACGGGCAACGGCCTGGAGATCATGCTGGACATCCAGCAGGATGAATACCTGCCTGTGTGGGGAGAAACAGGTAAACACACACACACACACAAATGCAGTCAACCCTGATCACACTATGTACACTGAGCTGTCCCAGAGGTTTTCCTTGTTAAACATCTCTCCTCATATACAGGAGAAACTCTGATTGTCTTACAAGTGTCTGATTAGGGCAGGGCTTTGTCAGCGCTTTCAGTGTGACGCTGTCCCCAGGGACGCAGTGAATATTTGCGAGAGACACACACACCTTGAAGAACAGCTGTGATGCTGTAATGGTGTAGACAAATCCAGTGGGATTCATTATCAAATAGAACTTCTTGCATCCTGTGGAACTGATCTGATGCAGGTACACTTCTCTGAACGGTGGTACACAAAAACTTCAAAAAAATTTTTGATTACCATTGTGACACCCAAGCAAAGCATAGCTTACCTTGTAGTGTGTTCGATATTTCAAAGGAGATGAAATCATTTAGGATTAAGAGAGCGACATTGAGGATTCCCAGCAAAAGATTAATTAGCATTTTAAAGGTTACGAGTTTAGCTGAGGCTGAATTCAAATTTATTCCAAGAAATATCATCATACTTTTCCCAACAATGAACAAAAGGAGTCAGAGCGTGGTGACTATACATTTCATCAGCTGTTTTGGGAGAGTGGCCTTTAAAGCAATGGCACAAATTGTACCAAAGCTTTATTGCTGCTTCAGGGCTGATACATAAATCCTTTAGATTTACTTTTTCCTCACCTTCACATAACTGTGAAGGATATGGACAATTCCTCTAAAACTCCTATGTACCGTAGATCCAGTATATGTCCTGTTTAATGGCCGAAAGTTCATCTGTTGTCAGATCAGCCATTAGAGCAGTGCTGTGGGGCAAGTGCCTTGGGGAGATTTTGTAAGGGCGAATATTGAGGTCTCGTTCTTTTCCTTGCATTCCAATGAAGTTTATGCAGTTGCGTCTGCTCCTCCTCTTTTCTCTTTATATGGTGTCCAGTGTTCTCACTGCACAGCTCTTATGTAAACACATTCTCGGTTTTATCGTTAAAGCACCAGATTTGAATTGTATGAAGATGTTCAGTGAATAATGCCTCACACAAAGCTATCGTATGGTTTCAGAAGACTCTGAATATTCCTCATTTGGACTACTTTTATGATTCTTTTATGTCATTTTTGGAGCTTGAGAGATTTTATTTTTGGATAAACTTATCCTTTGATATTGCTCTGGCAAAGATGTTTTAATTTATTATTTATTCATTTACTTGAGGACATTTGGATAAAAGTAATTGTCTATAATCAAAATGATCTTTGCACAGAAAATAGCAAAACACTATAGGCTTACTGACAAAAAGTTATTACTTGAATGAAATCTAAACATTGTTCAACTAAATCAAATTTAAAGTTTCATAGTTTCTTCCTTTTTAAATAAATATGTTTTTATTATTCAACAGAAAAAGGCACATAAAGTTGAAAGACAAAATGGAGCTGATGTTTTTTTTACAGTAGATACAGTAGATCAGGTTACAGTAGTGGGCAAAGTTTTTCAAGCTTCAAAGGGAGGCGTGACAATAAAACGAATTTCTAGCTCCGATTGGATAGAAGAAAAGTCAGCAGATCGCCTGCTGTATTGTTTACTTTCTTCTTAGTTTAAATGATCAAGACCAGTAAGTCATCTGTCTGCATCCACCATTCTACCTCTGACACTCAAACATTTTTGGAGAGCCATGGGGAAAGAGATGGAGAAATTGGAAATGGAAAAGGTGAAGAGGAAGTGTGCACATGCATATGTAATATAATAAATGTGCTACATCGTGCTGAAAAATCTTGGCACGATGCACAAGGAAGATGACACGTCTGGAGCAGAGAAAGAGCCCATGATAAACTTGCTATCATCTTTTTCAAATTTAAGACACTGAGAGAGATCCCTGAGCCTCACTGAATAAATGTGCAGCCAATCCGTCATTCTGTCTGCTGGTTTCCAACTCTGATGAATACAGAGTGATGAAGAACTTACTCACTTTGAAAGAAGAAATGGGGAGATAAACAATATATTATCTAGAGCAAGATTCGGTGTGCTTGAACGGGAATATTTATGTTTATTGTTTTTTGGATGCAGTGGTGAAGCTCGGCAGTACTGTAAATTCATTCAAAAGATCACTTCTTCGCTTTCGTTTCAATGCATTTTGCATCCCCCTTTCTCATTTCACTTCTCTTTCCTCTTCATGTTTTCGTGTTATTCATCTAAATTAGTGGCTTCATACTAAGTAAACTTACTTTCACTATCTCTCCTTGTAATAGATAAAAATAAAAATTAAAGTCAATGTAAGTTGGCTAGCTTTCGTTAGTTATCTTATCTGTGGGTTGTTAGATCTAGAATTCTAAAGTATAATAAAGTAGCACTGTAAGATTACATTTACCTAAATAAATTTAGAGAAAGAGAGAGACTGTGCATGTGTCAATTACTTGCATCTGTATTATTGAGTATTCAGACTGACTTGTTTACCTGCACATCTCTGGACTGTCTGGATGTTCTGTTTTTTTAGATGATGTTATTGATTCAGAGAGCACAATGCCTTAAAAATGTTTCCGCTTTATCAAAAGACCTTTTCATGTCTGTCTCCATGTTGGTTTCTTTCTTTTATGTGAATTCTTGTTTGTGCTTTTTTCTTCTTCTAGCCGTTTATGTGTGTGTGTCAGGGTTGTGTACCATTTAGAAGTGATTTGAGAATGTGAATTAAATTTGTAGAACACAAGATGTGTAATTATAATTCAAATGTGAATTTAAGTAAAGTTAAATTTAAATGAATTAAAAAAATCATATCTGCAGGTTTTAATGATAAGAATACAATTATTATTATTGTTATTAATAATAATAATAATAATAATAATAATACAAAAATAATTTCTCTCTGTATGATTTAATCATAAACTAGTCATACACAACATATGGGGTATTTCCAGAAACATGAAATGATGATAATAATCAATGCTTAAAATGCCACAGGAGTGTTTTATTTAATTTATATATTTCATTATATTTAATTAATTATACTTCATTTTATGGACTATAGTGGAAAAGCACTTCATGTCCCAGAATGGTGTATTTACTCAATTGTTTACATTTGGCAGTCAAAATTTTAACATATTGTTTAGGTAATTAAATATAAAGTCATCTGGATACAATGTGGTAAACATTTTGTGGTGCTGCGAAACGTTTATGGCTATGTTAATTTCACACTATTGGGCTTAGTTTGGGCACTATTGAGTAATTTGAGAAAGCATGTTGAGAAAACATGTGCATGCAGAAATTAATGATCCTGTTAGTTATGTTTTGATGTAAAAATGTGTTGGGGTAATGAAATTCCTCTGGTGATGTAAACTGTTAAATTTCTTTGAATTTAAATTCAGAACATTCCTCTTCAAACTCCAAATTTAACGTCCTGTGAGGCTCAAATGTATTCAAATTCAAACTCATGAACTGAAAAGGAAGCCATTCAAAACTTCCAAACTTTGCTCAACCCTGATGTCTATGTGTTTTGAAAGGTGAATGCCTCTGTGCTACAAAATATAGTTGGTTTTGCGAATAGAGTTAGAGAGGAGACCAGTAAACCTCTCTCACTATCTCTTTCTGTCCTTTATGCCTGCACTCTCATCTCGGTTCCTGATCAAAGCCGGATATTTATGCATTCTGCTCAGCAGCATGTGTTGTTTTTCCACTTTGTAGCTGTGGAAATGCCGGCAGATTTTGGCAGGTGATCACTAAGTCTGGACTCAACAGCCTCAATCTGTAAAGATATTAAATTTCACATGGCAAATATTTGATTGATTTCTTTCTGTTTCAAAACTTTAATTAAACCAACTTGCTTAATTATTGAGCCGAAGACCCCAAAAATGGTGTCAATAGTCATTTTTAACCAACAATTGTTTGGTTGTGTGCAAATATATTAATCACAGTAATATAGCAGCAGGGAATAAAATGATAACAGTTCATGCGCCTTGTTAGAAGAGGCAAAGGAAAAATCAGTAGAGTCTACTCAAATGAAAAATAGAAGAACAGTGTGTGTCATAGATCGCTCAACGAGAGGATGAAGAAGAGACTCTCCGAATAGGTGTTGTTGCTCTCTCTCTCTCTACCTTAATTCCCATCATCTCCTCATAGTGACCTGTCTTTCATCTGTAATATGTAAAGTGTCAGGTGGAAGAGTACAGATGCAAAGAGACAGACTTCAAAAGCATTGGCATGGTTTTGAGTTGAAAAGAGTCCTTCTCATCTTTCTGCTAAGAGCATCAGTCTGAAGACTGATTCATCTATGGTTTATCTTATGGATTCATCTTAACACACACATACAAAAATAAATGTGAATACATTTATGCCGGGTTATTCAATTAAAGGATTATCCCATTCAAATATGAAAATCATCCCATCTAGTGGGCTGTTAACTACTGCGACCAAATTATTGAGCCAGTAGGTGCATGCACTTACCCTAAAATTTTCGATTGGACTAAAGCAATAATTTGTATTGTGTCTTGGTTTGGTCTGTTTTGCACAAAAACGTTTTTATAGCTTCAGAAGGCTTGAAATATATATATATATATATATATATATATACACACACACACTCACATATATATATATATATATATATATATATACACACTCACATACTTACCGTACATTTCTTTATTTTACTTCTTTTAAAGTTCCAACTTCTTAGGTGTGAACAATCATAACATAACACTTTAGGATCGAATATGCATGGCGTATGGCTATGAAATAAAATGTCAATTTTAGACTATTAATAGCAGGAGCAATTATAGGGTATTCATTAATTATAGGGGACAGTCATTGCAGGGGTGATTTCAGCTTTGGAGAGGTCAGGCCATTTTGCAGTGGTCTCAAGGATGGTTTTTCGCTTTTTCTGTGGTTGTGGGTTCAAAAGTTTTTTTGGCTGACTTTTCTTTATAGACATAAGAAAGTTGCAACTGTCTATCAGGATATGTACAGTGGGTACGGAAAGTATTCAGACCCCCTTAAATT